AGCTAATGATGTCCCATTACTTCTTTATCCAATTTCTGGTTCAAAACAAGCTGAAACTTATTTCGTTTTTGCAGGTAGTAAAGCTGTCCGAAATTTTTCAGCTTTGACTAAAGAGTTGCAACCTGATTTTATGCTTGTTCCAGCTGCATGTTGTGATCTTTCATGCATATTCACACGTCCAAAAGCTGGTCACCACGAGCTCATTTTATCAACTCCAACTTGCGTAAATTTATGTAATTCGTATGGAGTGAGCCTCACTTCATTGCTGCCACTTATGTTGGGTGATGCACACAAGTGTGTCAACCAAGATCCGAATGTTATTCTTACCTCGCTGGTTTATGCATCTATGGATGTGCAACACGATTGGTTCATTGTTCTATCTCCAGATGGGCAAGTTGTGCCAAATCAGCAACAACTAGGGTCGAATTATACCACCTTGCACAATCAGATTCGGGATTTCTCTAACTTCAATGAGCATCATTATGAAGATCCTTATCTTGTGCATGTGAATGGTAAGCTATTGCATAGTTTTATACCTATGACTACTAACTATGTGATTTATTGTGTAGATGACAATATGACAGTCCATTCCCGAAGGGTAATTAAAGAGTTTTGGATTGCAACTTGGAATTTTCACAAGTCTTACACAAGCTTTTTCCTACCTTGGCGCATGTCTTTGTTTGAGAGCCTCATGAAGCTGACCAAATAGCATTTAACTTGGCTCGTGACCCTTCATTTATTTCCAACGTGGCTGTCCTCTAAGCGCACCGTCGATTTGTGGACAAATCGTTTTCAAGAGGAGGGGAATGATGCAAACATGAAGAACTAGTGCCCTTCCAAAAGAGTTGCAATCGGTCCAATTCGCATTGGTCATGATTCTCCAGCTTATTGAGTCAAATGAAGAGTAGTTTCATTAATAATTTTCGTAGCTATTGAAATCGTTTGTTAAGGGTTGTTAAGCAAGGGTTTATTTGTCATTTATCTTGCTGTTTTAGTTATTAATTTTCAGCTTAATAATTCGGCTAGCAAAGGAACTTGTTTTAGTCGAATTCTAGTCATTAGTTTTAGGGTTTAGTTAAGTCCAAATAACTTTAGGGTTTTGAGTCAATGTAAGGCTATAAATAGTCTAGTCTTTTCCAATGTTTTTAGTTAATGAGAATTTTACAGAAATTATGTGAGTTTATTCACTTTCTTTCTCCAAAAGAGCCTTTCTTGAATACTTGAGATTCTTAAGAGTATTCAATTGAACTTATCAATCAAGTATCCACCTTGATTGTGGCGTTCCTCTACCTTACAAATTTGGTTCATTAATTCGATTGGTTACGGGTTGAGATAGTATCAATATTATTCGTGACTTCTAAGGTTAATTAGAGTCAAGTTTTTCCCTGCCAAACCTTCGGTATTAGTCGTCTAGATCCGGGGCATGTGAATACGGGTTTCGTCTTCAACATCCCTTCGTTTAGCGCCCATGTTTGTTTGTCTATTTGTGTTAGACAAAAATTTTTTTTTTTTTCAAACTTTAGGCTTTGTTTGGAAGTCTTATTTTTGGCCTATTATTAATTAACAAAATTTTTACAACTTTAATCTACAATAATCTTTTAAAAACATCTGAAATTTTTATAATACATATTCCAAAATATCTAAAGACACAAAATATTTTTTCTTTATTTCCCTTCTTCTTCTTCTTCTTTTTTTCCCTCTCCCTCCATGCTTTTTTCTTCTTTTCCCTCCCTCTCTTCTCTTCTTCTCATTCTTCTCCTTCCTCATTCCCCTTCTTTTTGGAGAGGAGGAGAGGGCAGGGAGAGAGGGAAAAAAAGAAGAGAGGGTAACATAGCAGTAGTCTGTGGCTGACTGTGGGTGGGGAGAGAGGAGGAAGAGTAGTGGTGGTGTGGGGAGAAAGAAGAATAAGGAAAAAAGGGGGAAAAAAAGAAAGAAAATGAAAAGGAAAAAGAAAATAAGAATTTTTTTCCAAATCTCTTAGATATACAAGAATTTTTCTACAAATTCTACAATAAATTACCGTAAAATTTTAAACAAACACTCAAAAAACACACCATCCCAACAAACCTTTAGTTACAAGAACTTGCTAAAACATGGTGATACTTATTGTTTGTCTAGAGTTAATTGGAATGAACTAATGAGTATAATAGACTCATTTTATGAGTTTTTTCATTAACTACTTTTCAGTAGAAATTAATGTTTACTCACCCTTATAACTCATATTTTAATTAAAAATAATAATAGCAATTATAAAATACTAAAAGAAATTGAAAGAGTAAGGAAAATTTAGAAGAAAAAGAAGTAGGAAAAAGAAAAAAATTGTAAAACCAATACCTAGTTTTGATTACCAAACACTTTAGGTGTAGTTATACAATTCATATTCAATTTAACAGTAGATGTAGTTATACTATTCATTACAGGATCATTTTTTCTATAAATTATTGAAAAATTTTGGCAAGTAATATAAAGCTTGAAAGTTAATTATATGCACCACTGGAATTGTTTACCGAGAGAAAAGAAAAAAAATAAAAAATTCCATGCGTTACATTTAATCCTAATTTGAATTATATTCACAATTATAGGATCTAATTAATTATCAAATATGAGAATGATGTTTATAGACCCCAAGCTTTTATAAAAATGTTTTTTTTTCTTTATGTCATTGTTGATTTTTTATCTTTAATGTACCTTGTTCCACTTTGTTGTTATTAACGTACTATGGACGCATTGCCATACATTTCGTTTTACTGGCATAATCTTGTTGTGCACCGTAGTGGATCACAAGTTATTCCACCCAAATTTTTACTCAATTGATTGTGGGCTTCAAAATTGATCCATCAAATTGATTCGTCAAGAAATTTCTCGTGGGATGCTGTTTATGAGCAAAAATGTAAATACTTCAAGTCCCAGTTTAAACCCTTAGCAAGCAAGTTGTCAATTTCGCCTTGAAGTAGGGGCATTTGTAGACAAAGAAATTTTATTTAATTTATTTAGTCGAGATAAAATAAATTAAATTGGTTTTGATTAAATTAAATTAAATTATAGAAGTCCATTATATTTTGAGCTAACAAATTGGGCCACAATTATATGAGCTATTAAGTCAAATTAAATTTGTGATGTCCATTTAAACTGAAGTGAATTAATTGATTTATTAATTCACAATGGACTATTTGGACAGATCCACTATTCAAGTCTAAGTTAAATGGGTTTCTTGAATTACAAGTCATTCAAAATGCAGGAAGGTTTTGGAGGATTTTCTTAAAGACATAACCTACATATTTTGGCTATAAGTAGAGGTCTTCCTCCAAATTAAGACACATTGAAATTCCTAAATTCTGAAGAAACTTTGTCAAATTCTCAAGAGCCTTTTTCCTCTAATCTAAATCCAAATGAAGTCAAACAAATTCTCCCTCCGTTTGTGTTGAAGACTTAAATCTTTAAGTGTTCAACGCCATCATCAAATCATGTTTTCTATGCCCAAATCATAGGAACTATCCTCTTGATCGGAGAACAAGCCTCTTCGGTCCTTCAATTGAAGTCTCTTTAAGAGAAGAATCAAAGGATTAATCTCTTTGATTCAAGAATTTTTAGAGATTATAACCCTCTTATTATTTGATCTTTTGTGCAAGTTTTCTTATCCTTTATTTACATGGAGATTTATTATTTACAAGTTTTGTGTTCCATATTTTGTACAGGTTTTGCACTTCATGACCTGAGAAAGTTGTTGATGTAGTTTAATCAGTTTGGTTTGGATTTCTTTGATAAATAGAATCTTGAATTTAGGCTTTGTGTTCTTGAGCTTTGAAGCTTTAATTTATTTGAATCTAGTGGTTTGGCGCTTGGTTTTGATGTTTCAAGTCATGTTTAAATGTCGTGAGTAGTCGAATCTTGTAGGAATAATGAGGAAAAATTGACCATAGCTATCTTCCGATTAGTTTCCCACCATTTTGGCCAGAAAATTTGTGTAATCTGGCAAGATCTCTCACATATGGCTTGGACTGATTTATTTCTTGATTTGAGTCAGGTTGATGATGTATATTTGCGTCAACTTAGTTCAAACTCCCTTTTTTTTGGCTAATTACATCCACCTCTTCTATGTTTCAGCCAAACTATACTAGACCCCTCGTGATTTCAAATATTACAGTGTACATCCTTTGATTTGATAGTACACAACAAAATGCCCCTTGACATTACTAAACTAATATTTGTTACTATCATTAAGCTAGCACATTGAGTGAAACCCTAAAGTTGTCCCTAGAAACTATTTTATTTTAAACTTTTAAAAATTATTAAGGAGAAAAAAGTATGATAAAAAATTAAGGGGAAAAATGAAAAACTCATGCTTTTCACTACTCTTAACCACTGTCATCATTTTCCTGATGTTCTGTCAACTCCACCAGCAACACCTTTCAAGTTCCAAACACCTTAAGGCCAATATCCTTACAAACGCACCACTCCTTAGTCACACTACCACTAAACCACAACTATGGCTCCAGATTTGATTTCACAATTTTCCCCCATATAGGCCAAAAGGTTGTAGACTAACAATTCAAATCCACTAATTCTATAACAAATCCACTAATTCTATAACCAAATCATCCTTCCATTGTCTCAACCTAACCACTTTTTCTTCCTTATTCTTTTGAACTTTTCCTTAATTGTAAGGGTACTTCTTGTTAGCAACTTTCGAAAAAACATACAACATGCAAGGCTCTTTCAATTAACATAAAGCACAAGAAGCCCAACTCACTCAAGTTTGCAAGTACACAGAAATTAGTAGTGTTATCCAAAGTGGTGTCGGACCGCCGATGTGGCGGCCCCACTTCCCCCTAAGGCGAACCAAAGGGTTGACAGGTCGCTTGCCTAGCTCTCGCCAGGACTCACTCACTCTAGCAACTAATATCACCAAATATAAATCGAAAATAAACCTTACTTCTCGAGCAAGCTAAGTACTTAAATAAATCATACAATTCAACTTATACAGCCCAAAAATACAATTCCAAGTACCAACGAAAACGTCGAGCTTAAAATACTTAATTTACAATTTAAAGTTCCTAATCCAGGGCACAGAAGCACCACGGGATTCACATTTTCCCAAAGGCACAAGAAAAATTATCCAAAAGATATTAAAGTATCTCCCAAAGTACAATTACAAAAGTGGGCAATCAAAATATAACATTTATTTTCTAGTTCTCCAAGACTTCATGCATTTCAGAACCTGTCAAGGAAAACAAATTGGAAGGGATGAGCCAATAGCTCAGTGGTACCTTGAAACATGCAATTCACATAGGGCAATTTAACACGTACAAATGGACAAGTAAGCAATTAACAATTTAGGAAAACGAAGTATCATGACAAGAAAAGGATACGGGGCTCTCAGGAGCCAAAGTCCTCGCGCTCGATCAGGTAATTTATAGTAGTTGACACTCCGTCAACTTTCACTACCTAATCTCCATGTAGACATTTTTCCTAATCTACACGTCTCCTAGCAACGACCTCCTCCTTATTTTCGGGCCCGACTCCAACACGAATTTTGCAAGTACTTTTACCAAGACGGCAGAGAGGTATCCCCCACTCTAATAGAGCGTGGTACGTGCATCCGTTTGGTTTATTTAGTCGACAAGATCACGGTCCAATCGATATTGCAACACTTGTACTTGTGGCATGTCACGGAATCACATAGCATATAACATTTCGTGATATCTCTAACAAGTACTTTTAACAAGTAGTTCAACTAGCAATTAAACACGATTCATGCAAGAGACACTCACCGCAAGTGAAGAGTCTAGAATTTCAAACTTTGATCGAGATTGTGCTCTTCACCAACTCCTAAAATCATACAAATAATTCACATAAATTTCCACTTTTGAGTTGGCGAATTGAACTCGAGTCAATTGGCATTTAATTTCACTCAAAATCCCAAACTAGTATTAATCGTTCTCTCAAAGTGAAATCCACAAATTTCGAGTGAAATTAAATTTTGAGGTTTCTTTAAAACCAAAAACTTGCTAAATTCGTCAAATATTCCAATAACCAAGTTCTAGAGTCATATAAGCAATTAACACCACTTTGGTGTCACAAGTTGAGAAAAATCACATTTAACCATTTAGAGGAATTTTCCCTTCTAATTTTCCCCAAAAATATTTTGGGAAATTCGTTTAAGAGGAAATCATATAAACCAAATAAAACTAGTCATTGGAATTTCTATAAAATAGAAACTCCTTAAGTTTGCCAAATTCCATTGACCAACTTGGTTCAAGGATTTTCATGAAGGCAAAAACTTGAGTTTTCAAGGAAATTTCCAAATTTGGCATATTTCTCGAAATAGGGCATTTGGTCTAATAAAATTCAAGGTTATTGACTCGAAGTGGACCTAGTAACAAAGGTTAATGCTAGAAAACATTTTCGGGACAAATTTAGTCCACATTTAACCAAAACGAAATCCAAACGTCAAAATCATTTCTAATTTCAAACAAAATTTCTGTTTTGGGTAGCCTCGTGAAGAATAAAATTTTGGTCCACTTTTTGGACGTAAACTCTACTAGATTTTTGTCCCAAATTGAGCTATACACACCCCTTAACTAAACACAAGTCAAATTGGGTTCATGTTAACGTGAAAATCATTCAACATGTCTCATGCAAAGCTGGAAAAATTTCCAAGTGCATTTGGTACAAGCAGTCCATTTTCTCTTCAATTTGTCCAAAACTTTTCAATTACTCAAAAGCTACATTTTTACCCAAACAATACTTCACATATAGGTTAACATGTTTACAGCTCAAATGGTTCAAAAACTTGTCAAAACCAAACCCCAAAATTCGCCCAAAAATCTGGAAATTTCCAGAATTTTTTTTTTTTTGGACAGCTCAAGGGGCATTTTTCTCTTTGATTTTTCAATGAAATTTCCCATTGTACCAAAGCTGCATTTTCACCAAAACTACTCTACACATATAGGTGAACATATACATGATTTAAATAGCTCAATAACTTCACAAAATCCAGCTCAAAATTCGGGTAAAGTTGGAAGAAAAACAGGCCTGCTGGTTCGGTTTAGTAGAGCAGAATTTTCTCTTCATTTCCTCAAAAATTTTCTACTTGTAAACTCATACATCATGTCCATAACAACCACAACCAATTAATCTAACATCCCAACAAACAATTCAGTTCATTACTTAAGCAAAATTAGCAGGAAGACAAGCGGCAACAAAGCTGGAATTTTGCCTTCCCATTCGGCCAGCTCTCCTTTCCATTCTTTCAAAATTTTCTCAACATCTAACTTCAGTAAAACACACATATAAATACATAAAACACCTCTAGCTTCATCAATCATTAGCTTAGAGGATCAGCAACCCAACAAGTTTCACCAACGCAAGCTAAAATTTCAAGAACCAAAAGCTGCAAAAAAAAATCTGAAATTCTGCTAAGTGCTAGGCGGAAGTTTTTGGGTTACCTTCAGGTGGTTGTTTACTAGCTAAATGTAGTGCCTAGTTCCTCAAGTTTCTCCTAGAACCACGGAGGGTCAGCTTGGAAGATTCTGTGGTTGGAGGAAAGAAAAATGGCAGCTGGTTTCTCCTTCTCCCCTGGTCCGACGCAACGCCAGCAGCAGCAGCGGCCGGAGGAGCTGCGATCCTCCTTTTCCTTGCTCGATCGAGACAGCAGCAAGGAGTGGAGGTGGAAGCTGGAAATGGAAGCTTGAAGATTGGGGTGTGAGTGGCTGAAGATGAAAGGCTGTTGGAGCTTGGAATGGCAGCGGTTTCTGCTTCTTCTTGCACCAGAGGATCGGAGCTTAGAGGGAAAGAAAAGGGTGGTAGCTGGTGACAAGATGGGAGGAAAATTGGGGTAATCTAGTGGGTAGGCTAGTTGACTCTTTGAGCATGCCATTAATGGTGGGTATTTTTTTTTTTTTAAAGATTCCTTTAATTTAAAATATAACATTTATATAAGTGAAAATATCATTAATAATATAAATACACATTATCAAATATAAATACATATTATTAAATATAAATACATATTATTTAATAATTTCAACATTTAAATAATATTTTGATTTTTAATTTTTCAGAAATTAATGCAATTTTGAGATCCTCACAGCCGATAAGGTATAGAGCTATTCATTTTCCCTATCTTGGGTGGTTTGACATGTAATTAAGTGTAGGTTTCTCAAGTAGGCTGATTAACTTCTTTCTTTGTTACTATAGGAGGCAATATGGGAATGGTTTGGATGGTTGAAACGAGCAGTGGAACCGGTTTGGGAGATTTTGAGAAGATGAGAACCTCTCGCAAGTGCTCTTTGGCAGTGGGCTTCTTTGAGAAGATAATTATTAATTTTTTTCTTTTTGTCTCTCCAAAATTCAAGTAATTTTTCCAATAACAAATATTTGCTGTTGGTGGCCATAGAAGTAATAGCTGGCAATTGATATCACTTGTACTCCTTGTTTCATTTTTTGTTTTTGCTTAGATTGCCAAAGTTTACTTTAGTAATTGCAGGTTAAGATTTAACACCATTTGAAGTGTGTTAGTGATTGACGAATTTTTGCAAACGCGCAGGGTCAATAGTAGTAATAAATCACTTGGAATATTCAAGGGTCGAACCCATAGGGACGAGTTAATTTTCTACTTTAATTATTCTAACAAAGTTAAATTAAAGGAATTATATTTTCTAACTAGGCAAAATAATAATCAATTTAAATAAAGTAGTGATGAGAAAACAATAGACGCAAGCCTAGGGTTTTAGGTTTTAATCCAGTTTTTGAGTCAATTATCTAGTTAATTTCTTAACAAATTATAAACACATCACACAATTACAATTGTATTTTAAATTATCTTTCGATACATCTAAAGTGTGCCTAATTAAATCCTATGTTTCTCTTGAAATCACAAGTATTCAATTAAACCCTTTAAGAACTTTAGTGATATAAGTGCATTATACAAACTTTAACCTACTCTCGTGATTAGACTAAGGTGGCGTTTGGTTCGCATATCGGAATCGGATATCCTGGGTTTGGAATGAGATCATTCATTCCAATACATTTGTTTGGTTCAAATACTTCTAATGTATATCATTACTATAGTTGATGTTTGGTTTGTCGATTCTTTCGGAATGGAATATAATAAATATATCATAAACTAAATCGTAAATGATAGTTATTGGCTCTTTGTAAATGGGATATAAGAAATTTTCACTAATTAAATATATTAGTATCAATGTATTAGTAAATTTAGTCTAACTGATTAATAATTTCTATTAGTAAACATATATAATTATTAGTATAATTGATAATATTAATTATATTACATAAATTAATATACATTATAAAATACATATAACTAATAATATTAATATTATTATAAGTTTGTAACTAATTAAATTAAATGTTATATATATAATTAAATATAAATATACAAATGTTATAATATAAATATATAATATATACAAATATTTTATATAAACATAATATATATACATATTAAATATAGTTATTATTATACATTATTATATTTAAAATAATAATAATAATAATAATAATTATATAATATTAATAAATTTATAATATATATATTATATAAATATAATCATATTTAACTAAATAATTATAATATATAATTATATAATATAATAATATCATTATTATAAGTTTGTAACTTATTAAATTAAATACTATATATAATTAATTATAATTATGCAAATGTTATAATATAAATATATAATTATAATTATATAATATATAAATATTAATTGTACTATTATTTTAAATAAATATAATGCATATTAATTAGATAGTTATTATTATATATTATTATATTTAAAATAATAAATATAATTATAATTATATAATTTATTAATATTATATACATGTATTTATTATAATTATATGCACATATAATATACATTTATAAATAAACATATATATTATAAATATATTATGGTATAATATTAATAAATTTATAATATATATTATATAAATATAATTATATTTAAGTAAATAATTATAATATATATTTATATAATATACTAATATTATAATAAAATATATAATTATAATAAAATTTTATAATTACAATATATTATAATATATGTATATGTTATAATATAAATATATAATATATATAAATATTAATTATACTAAATATTATGTAATTATGAGATTTTGGAATCACACTTGGGTTTTGGACAAAACGCACCCTTTTACTAAGGAATGAAGGGATGCCAAATTTTTAGAAATCATTCCAAAATTTCAATTCTCATACCAGTGAACCAAACACCAATTATGAAGTTTATTCCATTACTTCATTCCGATACCCTTTTACCAAACGCCCCCTAAATATGTTTATCTATCTAGTGCATGGCTGTATATCCCTTCTCAATTCAATACAAATCCTAAGAGCATGTTTATGGTGGCCAAGCATAAATACATAATTAAATTTGAAATAGATAAGTCATAGCAAAAAACAAGAAATTAAGCTAGAAAAATTAATCAAATTCCTTCATAAAAATTCTCACCCTAAAACCAATTTAGGTCAACATGATTAGGCAATTAAAACCATGAATTAAAAGAATTGCTACAGAGATAAGAAAAAGAGTAAGAAAACTTCTCAGCTGCTTGCTTCAATCTTCTTCTTGCGTGCTCCTTGATTCACCTCCATTTGATCTTGATCTCCCAAAAATAAACTATGAAAAGATACTAAAACTAAGTAAGACTAATGTTTTTCACCCCTAAAAACATCATAAATAGCCCCTTTATAGTTTCTTAAAGTAGTATCCGAAACGAGGTATGATTGGGCTTATTGGAGCTAAAAAACGATAATTTCGCATATTTTTCTGATGAAAACTTGTGCAAACACTGGCCTAAACTCTGCCACCTGTGTTTCATTAGATGACTTGACTAGAAAAGCTCTAGCTTCGATGCAAGCTATTAAAGATCCGTGGATAGACCGCTTTGGATCCACACGCCGATCTACTTCAAGGCCAAAAATCTCCATCAACAAGGCCTAATTAGCTCTTGCTCAATATATGAAAGTTATAGTCTTTGAATTAGCTTTCCAATGCCATAAAGAATATGTCATTTGGAGATTTGGACACTGAGATATATCCAAAATACTGAGAACTGGTTAGAAGAACATCGCAGCGTAACTATACTTCAGTATTTTGAATAGAACTGGATTTTGATGTCTCATAATAATTGTGGATCGTTATTTTAGGTTCAAATTGAATCAAGAATCATCTCAATCTGATATAAGTAGCTCAAGTTGTCACCAAAATACTAAAACATGTCAATCCTGCCTAGCCTCTGACTCATCATATTTTGTTCTTCCATTGTTTCTTCGTGCCACATTTTTTGGTTCATTTTCTCTCCAATTGAGTTTCTCACCTATTAGAATAATATAAGAGCAGAACCAAGTAGTTTCTATTCGAGACAAAGCTCAAATAACATAGTTAACTAACAAGTTAGGTCAAGAGTATTTACAATAAAGCCCCTAAACTTTTAAGAATTGCACAAAGGCCCAAATTATTTCTAGAACCCAACAAAATTTCTCCATGACTCCTTAACTTTCTTTCTTGTGTTCATTTACAACTTTAATTATTTTAATTGGCCTTTGTTTAATTATAATTAGGTCTTGAGTTAAACATATTAGTATTAAAACTTAATTTCCTTATTTTAGTAAAAACTTAATGAATTTTAGTAATTAGCTCTCACTTAAGTTATGCTTAATTTTAGTACTTTTAGGAATAAAACTGGCTATTCAATTTAATTTTTTGAATTTGCATTTTGGTCCCAATTTTACAAAAATTGCATCTTTGCCTAAAAACTAGGTCATTTTGCATTTTGGTTCTTAGTAGATTTTGTTCTCTTTAATTAGGATTTTTATTTTTCATTTGATCATTATTTGTGCTTTGTAATGTTGAGTTGTGGATTATTTTTAATTTTGTATTTGTATGCACAAGTAGTATTTATGTCAATTACTTTGGCACCTTTATATGTTTGAAATAAGTTTTATTTTTCAGTCACTCAAGATTGCCACTTCAAATGGAGATACTCCTAGTATCCTTACAACTCCAATTATATGCTCTTATGTGCTTGTGTGTTTTTTATGTATCCTATGTACCTTTCTTTCGTCATTTTTTTAGTTTTAATTTTGTTTTCTTACTTTTAAATGCTTTCCATTAATTTAGATTGTATTTTGTTTGTCAATGTAATAGATAGAATTGATTTCTTTTTTATCAAATGAGACTGTATTTGGCTAGAAAATGTAATCAAAAGGTTATATTTTCGTTTCAGCCTCTCTTAATTTAGGTTCTATTTAGGTACTCTAATGTAATAGATATGACTATGAAGCTTATGCAGCTTACATAGTTACATGTTTAATTGCTGTCAATAGGATTTTGAATCTAGATATCATGATCTATGTGCTATATGTTCAATGTACTTTTATGTGTTTACTTACTTTATCCTATAAATATGATGACGAAAAAAGGCTTGTAGAATGAGTTAGTCCAATGCTATTAAGGGCTTGTAGAATGGGTCAGTCCAATACTACACTTTTAAACCTCTTTTCATAGTAGAATCATGCATTTTGTTATGCTAATTTTGCTTTCATATATTTTCCCCATTTTTTAGGACTTTTTCCTCATTTGCATGCCATGATGCCCTTTTTCTTATTCTGCAAGTGTTAATGCATCTCGTTTAGAATTGCACACCATGCAAGAACTAGGAACTTATTCATTTACTTGAAATTAAGTTTGAGAGTCACTCTTTAAGTATGAAAAAATGGTGAATTTGGCTTAACATGCTGTTATCCCTCTTCAAGAAAGAACATT